TTGCATGAAAATTGTAATTAAATGAAGTTGTAATTTAATGATATATTTAACACACACACATACACACACACACACATCACAAATGCATACTTTTATTACGAGAATACTTTATCGAATACAAATATAAGTCTAGATAATATAGCGTCTCCGAAAAAATTTGATTTAATTTTTTAGTAAAACTTAATTTTATTAACTCTTTGTCACTTTTCTCTTACAAATTAAAAAAAAATTAAGCTTTGTATGAACGACATACCACGGCTCTCATCTGTAATACTTATGTTTGGCCAATTTCCTTACCACGAGTTTCACACGATTGTAAGTGAAAGGGTCAATTAGTTTTTGTGGGAAAGAGATTCAATTAACCTAATTCTAACCAAACTTGCAATTTATTGAAGGCAGCCATATTCCTGATTGGAAATCGACGCATGCACTAAAAGTTGGAGATCACATAAAAGTTCAGTGTCCATGTTGTAGATACGGTCAACGCGATGCTACAAACGTTTTGAGGTGTTTTTTAATTGGTCAATTTGCAAAATTCTTTCTTCTAATTGGTCCATCAAGTATTTCAAAGCATTTGTAGTGAGACTGACCATAACCTGTACGTACTTGTACTGTGATACCATCTCCTTTTTATTCCGTGTTCTTAAGTTTCTCTCTGCAATTGGTAACCTTGTTTGTCACGGTTTTTTTTTTACTACGCGGGCGACATTAAAAATTATTTCCAGAAATTAGCAGAATTCTTTTAAATTATGTTCGAAAATTATGTTGATGATTGGATTTTTGAAGTGAGTCTTTTAGTTATACACGGTTAGAACTTATCTGGTTAATCTGTTTAATGTGCTTTCTCTTTGTTATTTTATCAACGCACGGACAGACAGATAATCGGTAGAATTGGAATTTGTAAAACGGCAAAATTAACACATATCTCATGTTACATACGTATTATTGCAGGATATTTTTGACGATGTTGGAGGAAAGAAAGAGAAAATGAAGAAGAAATCCTATTCTCCATGTCAAAACAAAGAAAAGACACAGTCTGTCAAACGACGTAAAGTGGACAGTTGTGAGGTACTGCTGGCACATAGTACCTTTAGTCAGAAATCAAAATTGGATACTATAACAAATATCCAAGATAATGATCTATCATCCAAGAATAAGAACGACATATCACGTGGGGATCTGTTATTAGAAATTTTCCAGAAAAATACTTGTCGAGAAACATTTGATCTTGCAAAAGATGTAGAGGAAGATCCATCAGGGATACAAAAAGAGATGCAATGTTTTCAATCTGAAATAGTTGCAACGTCAAAAGTATTCCAATATAAAGAGTCCACAGGAAAGAGTGACAAGTCTACGATTACTAAAGTAAGATTCGATAAAGAAGTAAAATTGATTAGATTATTTCCTGGGCCAGCAGGCTTAGTATCGGATGTGAAAAATGATAATATCTCTGCTACATCTTATTTAAACAGTGTTGAAGAATTGAAAAATAAAACATCATCCAAAAGTATTGAGATTAAATCCCAAGATGAGAGAAACTTGTGTGGAGAGAAAGCTTGGAAACTTTTGTTGAATGACCTGCCAAATAATTTTTTACAGGATTATAAGATTTCTGCTGTTAAAGACAAAGCAAATGCTAATCATTGTGATAGTATGAGAGTAAAGTTTATAGCAGGTATATTGGATTATGTAGATTATAGTCACGACGATCCATTTATTATATTAAAAGATTCATCGGGTAGCATAGAAGGTACTATCCATCGTGACATTCCATCAACTTATCCTGGCATATTAGAGCCGAACATAGTTATTTTTTTATGTGATGTAGGACTATTAAAAACTACAACATATGTAGTAACGAACAAATATCATATTCTAGTATCTCTAGTAAATTTATTAGCTATATATTCGGATAAAGGCCGAATTATAAGCACACCTCTTATGGAAAGTGTTATATCTCATACTTTAAATAGTGAATTAAATAGAATTAACAATTGCATGTCAATTTCGGAGAAATCAGATTATATTTCTGAAATGCAAAAAATTGATGAAAGTTATAAAGCTCTTTTACAAACTAGTAGTTCTGTCAACAATCGAGGATCTATCAAGGATCACGAATCTGAATTAGCAAAAACTCTACTATTACAATTGGAAAGTCCGACAAATGGAAAGTGTGAAAGTCGTGGGGAAATTTTTAAGAATAAAGATAAAGATTGCAAAGTTACCAATGAAATACTCGAATATCTCGACCATTCGATGGATACGAATGATTTAGATATGGATGTTTTCTTTACTACCGACTGCAACTTTACAAGTTTGGAAGGCCAGAATTATCGTGATCATTTGCTACCAAGTATTTCGCAAACTAGCAAAATTCAGCGGTGCAACTTACAAACTATCAAGTATTTGGAAAATACGAAAAACAAATCGATAATAACTTATCCAAAGCAGACAAAAGAGCAACACTTGCCTCAAACTTTAAAGAAATATACCGATGGAAAAACTTGCGACACACATTCACGTGAAAATTATTTTTCGTTTTGCAACGATGCATTATGTAGAGATTCGAATTTAAATGTGAAAGTCACATTGCCAGCAATAGAACGTAACGTCGAAAACTCAAAAACTTTAGTAAGCTATTTTATTAACAATAAGTATGATTCGGACGATGAGATTTTGTCACAATTGGACGTAGATAACATCATTGACAAGCGAAAGGAAGACGGCTAAGAAACGTGTCTCTCTCTCTCTCTCTCTCTCTCTCTCTCTCTCTCTCTCTCTCTCTGTTTTTATCAACATAAATGTATATATAATGCGTCATGCGAGATCGGATTTCAGATATCCACAATACTAATTACTATTAATAATTACTACCTAATCGCTAATGATTAATAAATAAAAAAAAAATTAATGTT